TTGGCAAGTTTTCATGCTTGTAAACTGTATAATAAATATAACCAAAGCCGTCAAAGATTGAGGAAAGATGTACACGTTCATAAGTGCTTGCGTAAGTGCTTTCGTGAATCTGGCCCCAGGCCCATAGTAAGTGGAGGTTAAATAGTCATGTTAAGAGGGCGAGTGAGGCTGGTCTGACGTTGCTATTTAACAAGAGTCATGGTTGTTGTGACCCCAGTCGTCGTTAGCCGCCTACAGTTTAAGACAGGTCATGTGGAGGTGAGGCAAAGTTGGGTTTGCAACAGCCTGGTGGAACAAGCTCCCACAAGTCAAGTCTGGCCTCAGGCTGGGCTTGGGGAGAAGAATTTCTAGAACCCTCTCCAGGTATAACCCAGGCTTAGGAGGTAAAAGAGTCGATAAGGTTGTATGAGAGAGTTTAAGGTTGTATGAGAGAGTATAAGGTTGTATGAGGGAATGGCCAGCAGGATGTGAGGCCGGCCACCCTCAGGAGGAGGTATGAGTTAATGCCTAATGTCGCTTAAATTACAATTAGTGGAAGGGGTAGGGGGGGCGGGAACAATTAGTCTCGGAACACATTTAATTACGGGATAACACAAGGTGGACATTTTCTGCCGTACGCTGCTACCTAAATCACGGTGAATGTAGGGGTGGCGCGCGACACCCTTCCCTTAGGGCTTACCCTCGTCCTCCAGGGTTACCCTTCGTCCTCCAGGGTTACCCTTCGTCCTCCAGGGTTACCCTTCGTCCTCCAGGGTTACCCTCGTCCTCCAGGGTTACCCTCGTCCTCCAGGGTTACCCTTCGTCCTCCAGGGTTACCCTTCGTCCTCCAGGGTTACCCTTCGTCCTCCAGGGTTACCCTTCGTCCTCCAGGGTTACCCTCGTCCTCCAGGGTTACCCTTCGTCCTCCAGGGTTACCCTTCGTCCTCCAGGGTTACCCTCGTCCTCCAGGGTTACCCTCGTCCTCCAGGGTTACCCTTCGTCCTCCAGGGTTACCCTTCGTCCTCCAGGGTTACCCTTCGTCCTCCAGGGTTACCCCTCGTCCTCCAGGGTTACCCTTCGTCCTCCAGGGTTACCCTTCGTCCTCCAGGGTTACCCTCGTCCTCCAGGGTTACCCTTCGTCCTCCAGGGTTACCCCTCGTCCTCCAGGGTTACCCTTCATCACAGCTTGTGAGAGAGACTCTCCCCTCTCACAAGCTGCTGTTATTTTGCTTCTTACTGTCCCTCCCCCTCGTGTTTGGACCTGATGGTGGACGTTATTTAATAAGTGGCGTCTTTGTGCGGCCCCTGGTTTGGTGGGGGTCCCCTGGTGTAGGTGAGGGTCCCCTGGTGTAGGTGGGGGTCCCCTGGTGTAGGTGGGGGTCCCCTGGTGTAGGTGGGGGTCCCCTGGTGTAGGTGAGGGTCCCCTGGTGTAGGTGGGGGTCCCCTGGTGTAGGTGGGGGTCCCCTGGTGTAGGTGGGGGTCGCCTGGTGTAGGTGAGGGTCCCCTGGTGTAGGTGAGGGATCCCTGGTGTAGGTGGGGGTCCCCTGGTGTAGGTGGGAGTCCCCTGGTGTAGGTGCGGGTCCCCTGGTGTAGGTGGGGGTCCCCTGGTGTAGGTGGGGGTCCCCTGGTGTAGGTGGGGGTCCCCTGGTGTAGGTGGGGGTCCCCTGGTGTAGGTGGGGGTCCCCTGGTGTAGGTGGGAGTCCCCTGGTGTAGGTGGGAGTCCCCTGTGTAGATGGGGGTCCCCTGGTGTAGGTGAGGGTCCCTTGGTGTAGGTGGGGGTCCCCTGGTGTAGGTGGGGGTCCCCTGGTGTAGGTGGGGGTCCCCTGGTGTAGGTGGGGTCCCCTGGTGTAGGTGGGGGTCCCCTGGTGTAGGTGAGGGTCCCCTGGTGTAGGTGGGGGTCCCCTGGTGTAGGTGGGGGTCCCCTGGTATAGGTGATGGTCCCCTGGTGTAGGTGAGGGTCCCTTGGTGTAGTTGGGGTTCCCCTGGTGTAGGTGGGGGTCCCCTGGTGTAGGTGAGGGTCCCCTGGTGTAGGTGGGGGTCCCCTGGTGTAGGTGGGGGTCCCCTGGTGTAGGTGGGGGTCCCCTGGTGTAGGTGGGGGTCCCCTGGTGTAGGTGAGGGTCCCCTGGTGTAGGTGGGGGTCCCCTGGTGTAGGTGGGGGTCCCCTGGTGTAGGTGGGGGTCCCCTGGTGTAGGTGAGGGTCCCTTGGTGTAGGTGGGGGTCCCCTGGTGTAGGTGGGGGTCCCCTGGTGTAGGTGGGGGTCCCCTGGTGTAGGTGGGGGTCCCCTGGTGTAGGTGGGGGTCCCCTGGTGTAGGTAGGGGTCCCCTGGTGTAGGTGGGAGTCCCCTGGTGTAGGTGAGGGTCCCCTGGTGTAGGTGGGGGTCCCCTGGTGTAGGTGGGGGGTCCCCTGGTGTAGGTGGGGGTCCCCTGGTGTAGGTGGGGGTCGCCTGGTGTAGGTGAGGGTCCCCTGGTGTAGGTGAGGGATCCCTGGTGTAGGTGGGGGTCCCCTGGTGTAGGTGGGAGTCCCCTGGTGTAGGTGCGGGTCCCCTGGTGTAGGTGGGGGTCCCCTGGTGTAGGTGGGGGTCCCCTGGTGTAGGTGGGGGTCCCCTGGTGTAGGTGGGGGTCCCCTGGTGTAGGTGGGGGTCCCCTGGTGTAGGTGGGAGTCCCCTGGTGTAGGTGGGAGTCCCCTGTGTAGATGGGGGTCCCCTGGTGTAGGTGAGGTCCCTTGGTGTAGGTGGGGGTCCCCTGGTGTAGGTGGGGGTCCCCTGGTGTAGGTGGGGGTCCCCTGGTGTAGGTGGGGTCCCCTGGTGTAGGTGGGGGTCCCTGGTGTAGGTGAGGGTCCCCTGGTGTAGGTGGGGGTCCCCTGGTGTAGGTGGGGGTCCCCTGGTATAGGTGATGGTCCCCTGGTGTAGGTGAGGGTCCCTTGGTGTAGTTGGGGTTCCCCTGGTGTAGGTGGGGGTCCCCTGGTGTAGGTGAGGGTCCCCTGGTGTAGGTGGGGGTCCCCTGGTGTAGGTGGGGGTCCCCTGGTGTAGGTGGGGGTCCCCTGGTGTAGGTGGGGGTCCCCTGGTGTAGGTGAGGGTCCCCTGGTGTAGGTGGGGGTCCCCTGGTGTAGGTGGGGGTCCCCTGGTGTAGGTGGGGGTCCCCTGGTGTAGGTGAGGGTCCCTTGGTGTAGGTGGGGGTCCCCTGGTGTAGGTGGGGGTCCCCTGGTGTATGTGGGGGTCCCCTGGTGTAGGTGGGGGTCCCCTGGTGTAGGTGGGGGTCCCCTGGTGTAGGTAGGGGTCCCCTGGTGTAGGTGGGAGTCCCCTGGTGTAGGTGAGGGTCCCCTGGTGTAGGTGGGGGTCCCCTGGTGTAGGTGGGGGGTCCCCTGGTGTAGGTGGGGGTCCCCTGGTGTAGGTGGGGGTGACGGCGTCACTCCTCCCTCCCACCAACTGGGTAATTGTAATGCAAGTCTTCTTAGGCACTTTCCTTTGTTTCCTGCATCGTTGTGTGTGTGTGTACACGCATGCACGCACGCACGCACGCACACACACACACACACACACACACACACACACACACACACACACACACACACACACACACACACACACACACACACACACACACACACACATTGTTCCACTACGACAAAATCACCGAGGCATTAGAAGAAAAACTGAGTGCAGGTGTGGTATACGCGGACTTTACAAAGACATTTGATAAATGATATCATGGAGTGATAGCAGAGAAAATGAGGTCAGTAAGAATAACAGGTAAAGTATTATGATGGATATTCAACTTTCTGTCAAAGAGAATGCAAAGAGTAACAGTCAACCAAATCACATCGATTCCAAGCACAGGTAAAAGCTCTGTACCTCAAGGTGCACAGCTTGCACCACTGTTTTTCCTTATTCCTAGATCCTGGTACAATCCAGGGCATTACCTCTTCTCCACTACCATTACCCCGGCCTCCACTACCATTAACCCATTATAATTTACCCCTTATTGTTTACTATTTAATCTTTACTCACTACTATTTACTTCCCCCCTCACCTACCCTTTCCCCGCCCCACTACCATTAACCCCCACCCAATTAACCCATTCCCTAATAGCATTACCCCCTCCCCCATTACCATTACCTCTCTCCTGCAGCACCATTATCACCTCTCCGCTTTCCTGCTGACAGTCGTCTAGGCTTGACGGCCACAGGAATAAAAATCCTATTTTCTGCTTCTTCTCCGAGGCCACTGGTCCGGTTGATTGTGGAAGCCGACCCGTCTGATCTGTGGGCTGGGAGCCCCGAATCTGTTTAGGGGAGCCCTGAGCCTGTTTTGTGGAGCCCTGAATCTTTTTTGGGGAGCCCTGAGCCTGTTTTGTGGAGTCCTGAGCCTGTTTAGGGGAGCCCTGAGCCTGTTTAGGGGAGCCCTGAGCCTGTTTTGTGGAGTCCTGAGCCTGTTTAGGGGAGCCCTGAGCCTGTTTAGGGGAGCCCTGAGCCTGTTTAGGGGGAGCCCTGAGCCTGTTTAGGGGGAGCCCTGAGCCTGTTTTGGGGAGCTCTGAGCCTGTTTTGGGGAGCCCTGAACCTGTTTTGGGGAGCCCTGAACCTGTTTTGTGGAGTCCTGAGCCTGTTTTGGGGAGCCCTGAGCCTGTTTTGGGGAGCCCTGAACCTGTTTTGGGGAGCCCTGAACCTGTTTTGTGGAGTCCTGAGCCTGTTTTGGGGAGCCCTGAGCCTGTTTTGGGGAGTCCTGAACCTGTTTTGTGGAGCCCTGAACCTGTTTTGTGGAGCCCTGAGCCTGTTTTGTGGAGTTCTGAGCATAAAACATCTCTACTGGTTAGTTGCAACGAAGAATATATTCAACACTAGGCACTGATGGATGAATTTAATCAACTCAAATCCCCCGGTGAGAAAGGGTTCTAGAAGAGAGAGAGAGAGAGAGAGAGAGAGAGAGAGAGAGAGAGAGAGAGAGAGAGAGAGAGAGAGAGAGAGAGAGAGAGAGAGAGAGAGAGAGAGAGAGAGAGAGAGAGAGGGGTATAGATAGATGCAAGGGCATGAAGGAAGAATTAAGTAAGCCAGCGCTGGCCACCAATGAGTGTGTCAACATTGGGGCCCAA